CGAACGTCGATGATCTACCTCTGCGGTGCGACGGGTGCGAGACGGTCTCGTGTGTGGTCGGATCATTCTCGGATCATGGTCGGATCATGGTCGGATCGGTTCCGCATTGTAAATGGGGTTTCAAGTGTTTTTCGTGCCGACAGAATTCCATTGTGATTTGCAACTGTACTGTAGGATCGTTCCCGCAGTGTAAATGGGATTGCAAGTGGTGCTGGTGGATGAGTTGCCGATGGAGTTTTGAAGGAAGTCTCGCACGAAATGCGTTTTTTTCTCCATTTTGGCGCTAGTGATTTTCCTTCTAAAAATCCTTTTAAAAAGTGCTTCAAAATCTTCTTTTTTTCGCTCTGGCGTCGAGATCCGGTTTTGAAGCTACAATTTCCGACGCCGTTGCGCGTAGTTCTATTGTGTTTTGCAACTCACATTGTAATGGCTGCGTCAAGGTTGCTTCCTGCTTTGGCTGTATGCGTAATACTATTGTCTTTTGCAGCTGGACTTCGTAAATCGTATTGGAGTGGCTGCATGAAGGCTGCGACAGTGATTTGTCAGCAGATTTTCTCCATTTTGGCGCTAGTGATTTTCCTTCTAAAAATCCTTTTAAAATCGCCTTTATTTCGCTCTGGCATCAAGATCCGGTTTTGAAGCTACAATTTCCGACGCCGTTGCGCGTAGTTCTATTGTGTTTTGCAACTCAGTCTCTGCTTATCGCATTGTAGTCGCTGCGTCAAGGTTGCTTCCTGCTTTGGCTGTATGCGTAATACTACTGTCTTTTGCAGCTGGACTTCGTAAATCGTTTTGGAGCGGCTGCATGAAGGCTGCGAAATGGATTTGTTAGCAGATTTTCTTATTTTGGCGCTAGTGATTTTCCTTCTAAAAATCCTTTTAAAAAGTGCTTCAAAATCGTCTTTTTTTCGTTCGGCGTCGAGATCCGGTTTTGGAGCTACAATTTCCGACGCCGTTGCGCGTAGTTCTATTGTGTTTTGCAACTCAGTCTCCGCAGATCGCATTGTACTGGCTGCGTCAAGGTTGCTTCATGCTGTGGCTGCATGCGTAATACTATTGTCTTTTGCAGCTGGACTTCGTAAATCGTATTGGAGTGGCTGCATGAAGGCTGCGACAGTGATTTGTCAGCAGATTTTCTCCATTTTGGCGCTAGTGATTTTCCTTCTAAAAATCCTTTTAAAAAGTGCTTCAAAATCGTCTTTTTTTCGCTCTGGCGTCGAGATCCGGTTTTGGAGCTACAATTTCCGACGCCATTGCGCGTAGTTCTATTGTGTTTTGCAACTCAGTCTCCGCAGATCGCATTGGAATGGCTGCGTCAAGGTTGCTTCTTGCTTTGGCTGCATGCGTAATGTCTTTTGCAGCTCGACTTCATAAATCGTCTTGGAGTGGCTGCATGAAGGCTGCGAAATAAATTTGTTAGCAGATTTTCTCCATTTTGGCACTAGTGTTTTTTTGTTGCACGTAGGTTTAGAGCAGTGGGAAGTGTGGGGCGTAAAGAGTGCAGTGTGAAGTGTGAAGTGTGAAGGAAGCAGTGGGAAGTGAAAAGTGTGAAGTGTGGAGTGTGAAGTGTGGAGTGTGAAGTTTCAGTTTGGAGTGCGAAGAGCGCAGTGTGAAGTGTGAAGTGTGAAGTGTGTTGGAGTGTGAAGGAAGCAGTGAGAAGTGAGTGTGAAGTGTGAAGTGTGGAGTGTGAAGTGTGGAGTGTGAAGTTTCAGTTTGGAGTGCGAAGAGCGCAGTGTGAAGTGTGAAGTGTGAAGTGTGAGGTTTGGAGTGTGAAGGAAGCAGTGAGAAGTGAGAAGTGTGAAGTGTGAAGTGTGGAGTGTGAAGTTTGAAGTTTGGAGTGCGAAGAGTGCAGTGTGAAGTGTGGAGTGTGGAGTGTGAAGACTTTGCTTCGTCTCTCGCTGAAAAAATCAAACGGTTGTCGAGGGAAGGACACGGTCGGGACAGGGTGTCTTTGAACTATAGGTCATTTATGTTTGGGAAACTTCCGCCGCCGGCTTGCCCGGGTCTATGTTACTATGAAATTATGAATGAACAATTCATAATTAGTTCAAATGATTTGGTAAATCAGCTGTTCAATACAAGATGATTTGCTGAACATCATAATGTGACCAATATTTTTTGTAAGGCTGTACTTAAGCAAATCACCTCACAGCATATGGGGGTCCGTAGCCCCCCTCCCGTGTGAGGTCCTGAGCGCTCAGGACCTTGTACCACCTCGAGGTGACTATCTTAACTACAGATGAAAAAAAATCCAACTAGGGGGTTACAAGGTCAAACGGCCTGCCCCAATCTACGCTGGGGTGAGGAGGTACAAGGTCCTGAGCGCTCAGGACCTCACAGGGGATGGGGGTTGGTAGCCCCCCTCCTGTACAAGGTGATTTGCTTAAGTACAGGTGGAAAATTAAAAATATTCAGGATGGGAATTCACTGCGAATTCATTCGGTTTCCTTTTCAGTAGTAGGCTTGTACCACGTACCCATTTGAAACTTTGGGGTCATCTCCGCACAAACAGAATCAGCAGCCAGCATTCCTTTCCCCAAATCCCAAGGTTCGCTCAGTGGGCAATCACCACTGCTAAGGCTAATCAAATGTAGGTCAAATCTAATCTCATTGCTGCTCCCCACCCTCTTCCTGGACCTTCTCTTCTGCCAAAACCATTTCCTCTTCAACCTGAATATCCCTCACAAAAAGATCATCGCAATCACAATCGTTTGAGATGCAGTTCAATGCTGATCTGTCTCGCCTCATGTAAAGGCAAGTCATGGCATATACTTAAAATGATTGGTGATTCAACATAATATAATCAGAACTAAATAATGACTAAGCCAATTCAAAGTTACCGATTCAGAAACTTCTTCCAGTAGCACAGGTAATGGAACCGAACTTCCTCTTTGTTGATGCTAGCATGGAAGGCTCAAAAATTGCATAGTACTATTTGACTATCTTAACTGCAGGCCAGGTAGAGTGTAGAGTATGGAGTGTAAAGTGTAGAGTGTGGAGTGTGGAGTGGAAAGTGCAGAGTGTGAAGTGTGGAGTGGAAAGTGTGGAGTGTGGAGTGTAGAGTGTGCAGTGTGGAGTGTAGAGTGCGGAGTGTAGAGTGTAAAGTTCCACCCCTGCCACGCAAAACGACATGACAACCTGCTTGGAAACCTTCGAAAAGGAGATATTTTGCAGCTTCCCCCATAGACACGGCGACGCCACAGGAAAACCAGAGACTTGAGACGAGAGATGTGGGAGCATCAAAACGAGCCTTTCGTGCAAGGCTTCCTCCAATTTTCACACTTTGTAGCTTCAAAATTGACGTTTTCCTACGAGTTTTCGTCCGAGCCTTTAAATTTGCTACCTCAAAATCGATGTTTCGTGGGAGGCTTCCGTCAATTTTCAGCACATCTCACAAAATCACGTCTGCCACGGAATCTGCACCTTGTCGCCACTTGACGCTGCCCTGCCAATGCGATTCGTAAAAAACACGCAACACGACGCGTCTAAAGAGGTGCGCCTGCCACGCAAAATGACGATGGACACGTCCAAAAAGTGCCGCCTGCCACGAAAACTGCAACGCATCTTCTGAAAACGTCGCAAAAGTAGTGCGCCTGCCACACAAAATGACTTTCGACACGTTACAAAACACGTCTGAATGTCACGAAGTGCCACGCTTGCCACGCGAAACGCAAAAATTACCCCTTCTGGAGAACTTACCAGAGGCACGGCCATATAGCAATCGCGCGAACGGTTGCGAGGGGTTGCGGACGGTTGGGCAACGGGAACCCTTGCTACGCATTCTGGAAAGAAAGGGAAAGGAAGGGAACGGAAGGGACAGGAAGGGAAAGGAAGGGAAAGGAATGGAAAGGACGGGAAAGGAACGGAAAGAAAGGGAAAGGAAGGGAAAGAAAGGGAAAGAAAGGGAAAGGAAGGGAAAGGACGGAAAAGGAAGGGAAAGGAAGGGAAAGGACGGGAAAGGAAGGAAAGGAAGGGAAAGGAAAGGAGAGGTTGATTTGGAAATCAGCCGCCGTCGCATGACCGTGCTCAAATGAGCTTGCTTGGCTATTGCACACTGTCACTCAATGTTTCCGCGCAGAGCTGAAATTACTTTACTTCGAGTTATCCCCACCATGACATTTATACGTTTTGTTACTGGCAAATCTTCTGGCATTCTATCTGACATATCTTCTGGCATTTTATCTAGCATATCTTCTGGCATTTTATCTAGCATATCTTCTGGCATATCTTCTGGCATTCTACCTGGCATATCTTCTGCAATATGTTCTGGCATATCTTCTGGCATTCTATCTGACATATCTTCTAACACTCTATCTGGCATATCTTCTGGTATTCTATCTGGCCGTTGAGGTCCAGCAGTGCACACTGAGCTGGGAAGGTCCCAGGTTGAGGTCCAGCGGTGCACACTGAGCTGGGAAGGTCCCAGGTTGAGGTCCAGCGGTGCACACTGAGCTGCGAAGGTCCCAGGTTGAGGTCCAGCGGTGCACACTGAGCTGGTTTGGTCCCAGGTTGAGGTCCAGCGGCGCACACTGAGCTGGGAAGTTGGCAAAGAGCTTGGCGAAGAGTTGGCAAGGCGCAAGTTGAGGTGGAAGTTGATGCAGACATGATCGAGGAGAAACTGGAGGAGGAGGCAGAGGAGGAGGAGAAGGCGGAGGACGAGGAGGAGGAGAAGGCGGAGGACGAGGAGGACAGCTAGCCGAGGAGAACAACTCTGATAGAATCTAACAACCCTCACCTGGCAGGTGGGGAAAAATGAAATTTGCAGTGAATGCGTCCATAATGTTCATCTTCTAAAAAGAAGCTGACAAGAGGCGAAAAAGAAATAAACCAATTATCAGTATTACTCAAATTTGTTTGCTGTCGTTTTGCTTTTGGGTTCTCAGGCCCCCCCTTGTTTTTAGGGGTACCATGGGGTACCAACAAAAATCCCCAAAACTGCGATCCTCATTAGATCATTGGTCCCCTATGGTCCCCTCACACGACCTGAGTCGTTTTTCCAGGCCAGCAAGTGCCTGTTGCTGCTGTATGCATTGTGGCTGCCTAAGACCTCGCCTGGTGGATTCACTGCTTGGTGGACGGGATGAGATGTTGAATCAATGGGTTCATGCTAAGCTTGATATGTTGGGCATGGGCAGAAACCACCAAGTGAGCGCAGTTGAAACAAAGTGTTGTTGAAACCTCATGGTGAGTTTGTACATGAATGAAACAAAATCTCCAGCGGTGCGCGAACTGAGGATTTACATGGGAAGTCGTGGAATCACCAAATTCTTGATCAAGTTGATCGTGAAAAAGGCAGAGCGCCAACGATGGCGGGTTTACCCCAATGTATATGTGCCATATTGTGCCATGGTCAAGAGCTCCTAACGTTTGGGCCGTTTGGGCTGTGCATCCTGACCCAAAACCTATCGGTGCAGAATTGGAAGGTGGCGCCAAGGACGCTCTTGAAGTTTGCTGAGAGGGGAAACTCAGAGCTCAGATGGGTTTCTTGGGTAGATAGATGTATGGATATGTAGGGTGCTGATATTTTGCCTTGAGATGTTTCATGGGCTGGGGTGATTTCCCCACAGAATTTTCTGATATTTCTCGGCGGATTAGTCAAGGCTCAGTTCAAGGCTCATGAGACGGAAAGACAAACCATGGCCCATCAATTTTTCCGAAGCAAATTTCCAACGCAACCAGATCATAATTGGAACATATTTGATTCATAATTAGCTTTCAATATTTGCAGCCACAATCTCAGGTTTTTTTCATGTTTTTTCGGCTTGCCGGACATGAGGTTGGCGCCTTTGGTCATTGAGATAATGATCAATGCCGCAGCCGCAGTTGAATCAGTTGGGGCAGCGGCAGAAGGGGAGATCCTCATGTGGATGTGGGAAACCAGGGAAAACGCTACTCCCATGTGAAACTGGAGCTACAGTCGCCTCAGGTACTGACAGCTGGCTAAATGTTGGGTACCCTCTGGTAATTTAACATAGCTATTAAAAATGGTCATTTATAGTTGATTTACCCATTGAACATGGTGATTTTCCAGTTTGCTACGTTAAATTACCAGAGGGTACTCGTACTGTCTTTAAAACAAAAAAATTCTGTCCAATTCATCTCGAATAGTCCCAAAGAGTCCATGCGTCCAGAGCACGTAACGCAGGTCCTTTTCAACTTCGTAACGGTCAGGCCGAGCCTGGACGGGGGACTTTAAGGGCGGTATCTTCCGATAAATCCTTGGCATCAGCTTGGTTACCGGTATATGATGTTATATTATGATTATCATGTTATATGACCTGTTGACACGGAGATTCCCTGGTGACACAAAAATAGAGACACAGCAAAAAAACGTCGACACCATGGACATGAACAATGAGATTTCTCAGCCCATAAAATGCCATGAATATCTTGTTGGACATTGAATGTCCATAAAATCCAAAATTTTCTGCCATCATTATGCCATAATTATACCATAAATGTCCCATAAATCCCATAAATGTCAGATGTCTAAAGCGTGGTTCCGTGGTCTCGTAGGTATGCCATGAACGAAGTGATCATCTGTGCCCTGGGGCCATCGGCCACCGTGGAGGCGAAACGGAAGATATTTATGGATTTATGGATGTAAACATGGAATAACATGGATGTTTATGGATATTTTATGGATGTAAACATGGAATAACATGGATGTTTATAGAGATTTTATGGTTTCCGGATGTAAACATGGAATAGCATGGATGTTTATAGAGATTTTATTATGGATGTAAACATGGAATAACATGGATGTTTATGGAGATTTTATGGATGTAAACATGGAATAACATGGATGTTTATAGAGATTTTATGGTTTCCGGATGTAAACATGGAATAGCATGGATGTTTATAGAGATTTTATGGATGTAAACATGGAATAACACGGATGTTTATGGAGATTTTATGGATGTAAACATGGAATAACATGGATGTTTATAGAGATTTTATGGATGTAAACATGGAATAACATGGATGTTTATGGAGATTTTATGGTTTCCGGATGTAAACATGGAATAGCATGGATGTTTATAGATATTTTATTATGGATGTAAACATGGAATAACATGGATGTTTATGGAGATTTTATGGATGTAAACATGGAATAACATGGATGTTTATAGAGATTTTATGGTTTCCGGATGTAAACATGGAATAGCATGGATGTTTATAGAGATTTTATGGATGTAAACATGGAATAACACGGATGTTTATGGAGATTTTATGGATGTAAACATGGAATAACATGGATGTTTATAGAGATTTTATGGTTTCCGGATGTAAACATGGAATAGCATGGATGTTTATAGAGATTTTATGGATGTAAACATGGAATAACACGGATGTTTATGGAGATTTTATGGATGTAAACATGGAATAACATGGATGTTTATAGAGATTTTATGGTTTCCGGATGTAAACATGGAATAGCATGGATGTTTATAGAGATTTTATGGATGTAAACATGGATTAACATGGATGTTTATAGAGATTTTATGGATGTAAACATGGATGTTTATGGATATTTCTATTTTTATTTTATGGGATTTTATGGGATTTTGGCAATGTTTTACCGGATTTTTAATGGACTTGATGGGATTTTATGTTTTTTTTGACACCTCACACCAGGGGCTACAGGTATATTATTAAACATGATGGGGATGCCAATGATTGAGTTTGGATAGATCTTGAATAGCTGGTGGTTTCAAATGTTCTTATTGTTTCCCATCCCTATCCATATTATCCATCCCTTTTGGGAAAGGATGGGTTCAGGGGTGATGATCTCAAAGTGACGCTATAAGTGGCATGGGTTGACAAAAAAAGACACCTCCTAGTCGTGGCATGGATACCTTTTTCACATGACGGAATCTCAGCGGGAGTGGCTCTGATCCATGGAGATACCATGGCATCCCCTGGCAACATCTGGCAACATGGCCATTGCAAATCTTCAAGGTTGGCCCAACAGGTCCTAAGGTGCTACTTGAAGGGTGATTTTTGGTTTCCACTGGGGCCCGGGCATCTGTACCCAGCAGGTGACAAGTCAGTTGGTGAAGGCTCATCGCAAGAGTGTCTTGGGCAAGAATAGCTAGCTGGAAGTTGGAAGCTGCAGCGAATATGGGAAAAGTCAAAGAATATATGACCTGTGATTATGACAAGTGTCACGCAAAACAAGAATGACACGCATTAATCACAAGTATACAAATAACAGGAGAATTTGACACAGGATTAATATGTGGCAATCATCCAAACTTGGCAAACCTCCATCTTCTAGGTCCCAGTCATGAAGAAAATGGGTGCAATTTGCCAATTTGCTGGACGACCTTTGTGATCTTTGTGGTTTGCCGCGACCATCCCAGCAGTTGTTCTGATGAGGCCGCGATGTGGACGAGCCCTTGCTTGGAACCTGGTTGTGGTTCATGTTGAGCTCAGTTGGGATGCAGGAAATATATGGAAATATCAGATTGAGCAAGGTTGACCTCAAGCATTTTAGACATTTTCAGAGGAGTTGAAACAGACCCTGTCAGATTTCTCGGTGTACACGCCCTCACAACTCACCGCTGACCCATCAATTGTTTCTGAGATCCGACCGCCTGAAACTCTTGGCGCTGAGAGCTGTTGGTTGGGGGGGCCAGTGGTGGAGCATCATCCAATGAACAGATTCCCAGGATGCCGATGATTCCCAGAAACGGCGGGGCTTTGCTCCTTTCCTGACGACGCAAATGATGTGGGTTTCACAAAAAGGAGCCAGCTTTTTGGATGCAAACTATGAAACATTATGAAACCATTCTGACCCACTTCAGAGAAAAAGAACATCGGTTTATTTGACTTTATGACTTCATGACTTTACGGGGAGAAATGACCTGTAACGACCCTGCTGTTCGACAGGTGTTTCCATCACTTACAAGATGCAGCTTCATCCGAACAGTCGTTGTCTGCCACGCTCCCAGATCAAAAACTCACAGCCTGATCACAGCAGTGCGAGAGGTAGCCACTATAGTGGGTTTCATTTGGGACATGAAATGGGACCATTGGAATGATCACTTCCGTGATCCAGAAGGTGCCAAACATATGGCTATGGATCAATACCTATTATATAGTACCATTTTTAGGGGAATGAACATCCATAAATCCCAGCTATTTTGATGTGAACTACAGGGGTACAAGGTTTTGACCCACTGCCATATGGGACCACTTAACCCAACCAAAAGACCAACCAAAAGACCAACCAAAAGACCCTGTCATCTTTGCATATCGAACCAAGCTTCTCCAAGGCTCGACCACATTGTGGAGCTCTTCGTAGACGAGGGCTTTGTGAGACGAGCTGGGGCCCCAGCTGTACCCAAGCCGTGCACCGATGCACCAAACGAGCGGCTCGTTGGTGTTTCACCAAGCCCTGAGGCCAAGGCAAGAGATGGGAGGATGAATGAGGCCAGTGGATGACATGGGACAGATGGGATGATACCGTAGCTGCAGAGAGCTGGCTCCTGTGTGGTGAATCCGGCTTCCACCATCCATAGGCCCATAGGTATCCATAGTCCATTTATGTCCATGACTCCATGACCTTATCATCTTCCACAAGTAGAGTAAGTAGAGCTCAAGGCCGAAGTCTCCAACGACCTGGATCTCTGCAGTCCCGGAAATACAAACGGATCCCGTCTCCATGGCATTCCGCCAGATCAAAGCGAAGACCAAGAGCAAGGCCGAGTTTCCAGAAGCCCTCATGGGAAGCTGTGGGGACTGCTGTTTCAGCTTCCACTTCACTATACTTCACTCAACATTTCAACTTCGTCCCTTGGAACCGCAGCAGATCATCTACATTACATGTGTCTGTGAGCTTACTTGTCGGCCACACAATCAATGGTTGACTTCAGACATCCCACATCATGGGTTACCGTTAAAACAGTTAAAACCCATGGACCCAAATTATTGGGGGATGAAATGGGATGAACATCTATAAATCCCAGCTATATCCCAGCGCCCTGGTGATCCCTACCACGGTTTTGAGCGCCTCACGAGGCCAGCGCTGTTGCTGGTGGTTCCGTTTTTGGTCGCTGCTGCCGCCGGGTGCCCCAGGAATCCCCAGGACATCATTTTCCTCGGAATTGCCAGATTTGGGGTATGCCGGTATGCCCCTATGGGACAAACCTATTTAACCATGGTTCATTGGTTGAAGCCCTATTGTCCATCTTTTATGGACATAACGGACATAGTATATAGTTTGTTGGTTGTATCCGCACATATTCCCATTAACATCCCATTAAACTCTATGAAATCATCATTTTCAACGGTCAAATCCCCACTTTGGCTTGGAAACACCCAGCATTCTTGACGTTGACGTCGCGAGGCTCCAAGCCACCGGTCGTCAACGCAGAGCCCGGAATCCAACGTTGGATGGTCAATGGGAAAAGCCAAGGGTTTGGGGTACCGATATTTTTGATGAATATTTATGATAATCATCCAGTTGTTAGAACCATCTGCAGATGAATATTGATGATAATTGATGAATAATCTGGATATGAATGATACATGTTGTTAGAAGCATCCAGTTCTACAATCCAAAAACCGTAGCCTCCCGGTCCAGAATGGGATCACTGCAGTTGTTGCCGAATGATTCAGCAAACATGTGAGCATCATGCCATGACCCGAAGCAGCTAAGGTATCCCTTACATGTTCATACATTTTCCCAATTTCCCAGCAGAATGCAACCATGCTTGACCATTGGCGATGGCAATGTTCAAATTACCAGCGTCCCTTAAAATGGTTGCGACTTGCCCTGAGGCCCACCGAGTCCTACCATGAAGAGCTAGCCGACCTTGGCGGCTTGGCATAGCCATATGCTGCATATACTGATACTGTTGCACCGAGAATGTGAATTGTTGAAGGTCTTCCATTTTACAATCATATTATATAATTACAATATGTTTTCAATCTTAACATAGCCATGTAATATCATGTAATTACTTTTGAATCAAGCATTTAACCAAGGTCTTGCACTACAATAAGTGAAGCCTGATACCATTGCAGCCAACTGATGGATCCTCTTGTGTGGGGCTATGGTCGAGGCTTAGACGATGAGGATGCTTTCTTCGAGGGTCTAGCAGGCGTCGATGATCTTTCAATCAACATCTTTGGGATTTTCTGGCTGGAATTTCTCCTCCATTAAAACTGAGGTTTCGGATTGCCATGATTGGCTCAGGGTATATAGATGGGCCAACTTGATGGAGAAACCAATGGGCGGTGTCTAATCGGCTTGTGAGCTGGAGTTCTGGGGGCAGCCCAGCATCCATGTTTGAAGCTCATGCCACAGCAGAGGTATACAGAGAATGTATATATGTGATAGAATCGTGAAACTGCAGCATTCATGTAGCACGGAAAGCGTCATATAGCAGATCTACTGAGTCATGGTTTTATGATACTTCCAATATCTTTCAGTTGAGTATGGGTCAAAATGATCAACCATGATCAATCCAAAAAAACGGATGGTTTAATCCTGGTTTAATAGAAACAACGACCCATAGGATGGTTTTCAGTGGCTCCAAAATCGGACGAAATCGTTGCCATCTCTGCAGGTTTGAACGCTCGAGATTCGCTCTTCGCATGCTCCATGCTCTTCCTGGCTTTGATGTTGGATGGCCGCATGCCGCAGATGGTGCATGTATAGAACATTACTACCCTCTGGTAAACTAACATTAACATAACTATGGAAAACTGCCGTTTTTTTCATAGGTCAATCAACTATTTTTATGGCCATTTTCAATAGCAAGCTGTTAGTTTACCAGAGGGTATAGACAATTGTAGAATTACACGATGGTGTATAGAATGTTGATAATGTCATGGGCATATGCCTATGCAGTTGGTTATAGCGTGCCTTTCTCAGGTCGAATTGGCAGCAAGGATTGGAGCTTCATCCAGCAAGCAGCCAGGCGCAACGCCCGCGGGTAAACTGATGCTGGGGCCTTTTTTTCCCTACAAAATTTCAGCATAGTACAATATGATAAACGTATATAAAGATATATGATATATTACATAGTCGTCGTATATACTGTATATATATATAATTATATATTGATGTATATATATATATATATTTATTTATATAATATGTGACTTTGCCATGCATCGAAGTTTACTCTCCGCTTCCAGAAGGGGAACTCACCAGCTGCAGGAGTGTCCGACCGCCCTTAGAAGCGAAATGGCCGAGCACTCAGAGCCTGGTCGGAGCGCTCCGCCTGGTCGTTCGGTGCGTGTGAAATGTCTGGTTGATCTCCTTGGTTTTTAATGGAAAATCCCTACCCTCTGGTTATGACTAACCATGGTAAATCAGGGAAACCATCATTAAACAACCATTATTCACCATCATTCACCATTCATAGTGGTTAATGATACCCTCTGGTTATGGCTAACAGTTTGCCATGGTATAGATGGCCTATAGAAATAGATGGTATTTACCGTTCTTAAAAATGGGTGGATTTTCCATGGCGAACTGTTAAATAACCAGATGGTAGTGATAACTGGGGGTACCCCCATTTCAGGAAACTTAGAGATGAGGTGAATATACAGAATATACAGATGCCTTGAGTGGTTCGTGAGACTGCAGTCATGTGTAATCGGCCAGATTGTTAAGTCCCTAAAATGGTTTTCTCCAACTCATTGGATTTTCATTGCAGCCTGGTCATTGTTCAGATCCCATGGTCACTGTGCTTCGTTGCCAAGAGGCCCAGCGCAGTTCATCTCATGAGCATTTTTGTGAGCGGCAGGCGGAGGGATGGATCAGCTCACCAGGGTGACAGATAGCCGTAGCTGATCCCCGTCGTGCTTAGCTGCCAGTATGAATCATGGGATACATTGGACTTGAGAGCTTAATGCATGACCAAGAAAAACAGACAAGTGATTCAAGTGGTAGCTTTTTTTCATGCAGCGCAGTGGAAGTCTTTGGCACACTGCAGACATGTTGGACCTGTGACACCAGACTCAATCACTTGGCCAAAGTAGATGATCCGCTGCAACAAGGAACAGTGCTCAGCATGCTGAAGGGATTTTGGGAACAACATCAAGTACCTAGATCTCTCATCATTCCTCATCATTCCTCATCATTCTTGTCATTTTCCTTTCACAATCTTTCGCTTCATCACTTCACCAACTTGTTGCTGCGTCATATTCCAATCCAAATGACGCGGTCCATTTCTGATGCCAACCCAACAGTTTCCACAGGCAGATGACTGCTGAGCTCTTCCACGACATTTTCCAGACATCCAAAGAGGGAGAGGCTGCCAGCATAAAATGGGGAACCCCACAGCCAGCTGTGGGCAAAATTTGGGGTCGCAGGACCCACAGAAAGTATCAGAAAGTAGCCGTGTCATTTTCGGCCTATAGCCCTTCAGTGGGGTGCAACGCTTGTGACCCAGTCACATTTGTTTCCAGCCTACTTGTTCATGCATTTGGATGCATTTTGTGCCCTTTTCCCGATACTTTTGATGAACCAAGATAGTGCAACATCTCGAATTTGTATAGCGGTCACAACTGCCGGGTAAAACCAATCAACACTATTGGAAAATCCTTTTCCAATCAAAGTCTAGCCGACTTTCAGCATGTTTGATAGACGTAAATAGACCATGAAATCATCTCATGATTGGGCACCCATGTTTTAGACCCATATCATCCCATATCCCATCCCTTCACCTTGCCAACGGAGGCATCTGCTGCAACCTGTTGTGACGTGATGTCCGGGGTCATGCCCTGACCTTGGAGTCCTTGGATTTCGGAATCCAATTGGGTTGTCTCAAAATCCTGTGCTTCATCATTTGTTTCCGATTAAGATTGCCATGGGGTATCACTCTCAAGGATGTAAAATATCGGACCTGCAGTATGATAGAACTATATAGGGCAAGAAGTAGCTGGCTGTGCCGGCCTCACAGACTCACCTATAAACTCTACGTCAGCATTTTTTTTATACATTTTTTTACTATAGTATGTAACGTTCATTGCCTTCTTCCGGCATGGCTCTTTGCCTCCCTGTTGGTCTGCACCCTGCAGAAATACCACGGCCGTGGGGCAAACTCACCTACCCACTGTGATGTGTGTACAAAGCTGTTTGGTGGACCCTTTGTCCGTGCGATCAGCTCTGCTCACGCCGAGCTATCACACTCGGGGACACGCCCGAATCGTCCGCGTATTCTTTTCAATGTTGGCCATTGCCCAACCCATTGCGTTCCCACAGCATCCCCGCACCAACTGCATAAAGGCAGCTTACAATATGTGGGTCCCAAGTTTTGAAAATATTGGCCTATCTTTGGAGATCATGGACCTTGACCAGAGTTATTAAGCCATGGCACCATGGCCCAAACCCAGGCGCAAAGCCACGGAGTACACCAATTGCTGCTAAATGCCCTGGAAGCAGAGACGGGCTGGATCCAGCAACCACAAAAAACATAAGACACATTGACGGGATTATACCATGTATTCCATGATGCACCACACGCTAATTACTTAATGGGAACATTGGGGACTTAAAGATACACATGTGGATGTATTAAAACAATTATATAGGATATACTATGACTAGCCTTTGCCCGCACTGGTTGCATCGTAGGCATCTCGTCCTGTGAACTAAGGCAAAGCCACTGCGCCGTGGCCAGCGGCTGTGCCGTGATGCCATGAGGATGATGCAGAACAGATCAGGACCCCCAGGACCCATGATGCAGAAGACATCAAAATAAACACTGGGGTCATTGTTCCAAATTGTTCCAAATTGCGCTCATTTGCAATTTTTCTCATTTTGTTAAACCTATTTGCGTGATTTGTTCGAATATTTTAACATGTTGCAGGCTTGATAGTTTCCTTGAAGACTTTGGCGAAGCCAGTCTTCCCCAATACTACATCCATGGCATGATAAGCACACAGATTTTGGCTTGAGTGTGGTTTCAGCCAGCGGCATCCAACCACAACGAAGATTCACAAGATCTGGACGCACCATTGTTGTCATGTTGTCCCCGCCAAGCTTGCAGTGCTTGTGCTTGGAGCCTCCATTTCTTAATGTACCGAAAGGATCCGAAAGGATTGAGCCATGGCATGGTCCATGCTGCTCCAATGCAAATTCGTTCCTCGTTGCGGCGTGGTCAGTTGCAGTTGTTTGAGGCTGGTGCTCCAGTCAGATCATCACCAGCGCAATCTCCGCTTCAGATATCATTGGGGGATGATTTTACACCACCCCGCAGGGTTCGAACTCAGTACACGATGTACATGATCGGTAGTTCATTGTTGCCCAGTTACTTACTTTCTTCAGGAATCTCAATTGACATGCACCCTAACATCGGGCCGTTAAAAACATTACACAAACGCATTCAGGTTCATATCAAAAGGTTTGGGAATTATATGGAATTATCAATTTGGGGATCGACACAAGAAATAGAATCTACATCTTGTTGGTGAGCCCTTGCCGCATGCACTGCAACTTTTTGTGGATGACATCTGCCCAAGGCAAGGTGTGTCCATGGTATAGTGGAAATCAGAAGAAAAGACGGACTGCTCCTTGTTTTCTGGGTGTGTTGAAATTTCAAGGGTTTCTTTGTCCTGGGATATCCTGGGATTTCGGGGACAAGATGAAATCCAGTGATGAAAATCGCATCTTTAATCTTCACATGGCCCAGTTTGATGTCAACTGCCGCAGCTGTAAAAAAGAAAAACACATACAGACGACTGGCACAGAACATGCTCCTCTGATACACTGTTTTTATTTTATACACAACGCTTGGTGTTTCAGTTGATTCAGAGGGGCAACATTACGTTTGTTGTTGATACATACTGATACCCAGTGGTTTGCGATGATCCCCCGCAGATTGTATTCAACCAACCTTCGTGGCTTCATCTCACCATATCTCACCATGACAGACCTTTGCCCCTGATGGCGCCAACGGCGACTTCAGAGAGGCCTGTAGCTCATAGATCTCATAGGATTTATGGGCTATTGAAGGCTGGATGCTGCAGGCAAGTCTCAGGTCATGCCAAACAAGGCACAGATACGATGGATATGCGTTTGGCACCGCTCTGGCTTGCTCCGGCGCAAGGTCGAGGCAAAACACAAAATGAGACATTCAAAACATGTCAAGCTCGAGACATACTTGGTTCCCTCTGGTAATTTTATTGAAATCCATTGAAATCCCCTACAAATGGAGGTTTCAATGTGTTTCAATACGTTTTAGTGGGAAAATCACCAGATGGTGGCCTCTGTTTCGGGGTCCATTTCTGGACCGCTGATCTCAGGTTGACATGGCGGACCGGCTGGTCTCAGCCGAGGCGAGTGGTCGTCCCGCGTAGAAAAAGGTGCTGGGATTTTCCCGGTTCGTTTCCTAAAGGTTTGAACTTCACTCGTCGTATTTTTGACATGTCTTGACAGTTTTATGGTATTTTGATGTTTTTTTGAGTGTATACTCTTTGTGGTCACCAAATGCTCTACCGCTCACTTTGCTCTGTCGATCATCGCCAGGGCTACAGCAACCGAGCTGCACGAACCATTGCCCGCCGTAGCACGGCCGTTTCCCCGGACAGCAACCTTGACAGTCCCAAGATGATGGGCTGCCGTTGTGAAGCTTTCGCTTCTGAACTCATTATCCAGGTCTATAACTTGAAATTGGTGGCAATTGGCAATTTTGGGACTGGCAATCCATAGCAATCCATAGCAATCCATAGTCCCATCATTTTTCAAGATCTTCCAATCCCCCGAGGCCAATTATTTGCTGAGCATCCAGCAGGATGTAGACTTTGCCACGAGAGCGTCAGAGCCTGAAATCCATGTGGCACTGGCAGAGCGGATTGGATGCAGTTCTCAAGATCCACCTCAAAGATTTCAAATTCCAAAAAAAATCAAATATTGATATTCAATGATATTCAAACATCAAATGAGCTGTATTAAAAACCCCGTAATACTCAGCTATGTATTCGGTGATCCTTGGTCCATAATTCGCCGCACCGCCGCACCTAAATCTGGCTTTAAACTGTTTTGAGGGTAGTCCATTTAGGTGGGGAACGACATCTGGAACGACATCTGAAACGACATCCAAATCATACATAGACATATATGGGAGTCTGTGAAAACCACATTATATTTTGTTTAGTCTTCCATTTCCATCCCCCATGAGCCATTTTTAGCTTTCATAACCCTGTCACAGAGCAATATGTCAAATTTTTGAATCCCACCGGCGATCTGAACGACATCCGAAACGACATCTGAACGACATCTGAACGACATCCAAAGTCGTCCCAGGTGATCATAGACCCATTTGACCCGTTTTGGTTTTCTTTTCTCATTTGAATTTTGAGGCGCACAAAGAAAAGGCAAGAATACATGTAGCAAAGGTTTTAGGTAATTTTCCTTCACATAGCCTTATATAAACATATATGACCCTTTTATATCGTAGATGTCTCCATTTTCTGTACACAATACAAAACAACCATTCATTGTTCTATTTCTCCGTATCTCAAAAGCATCCAAGATTCCGTCTGGCAATATTAATATATAATCTGGAAATGTGGAGGTCCTATTGTAACATGAAGACCGCCGCATGGAATTGCGATGATTTGTGGTTGGGATCAGCATTTTCAAACGGGGTTTTTAATACGACTCAAATCAGCAAATGCCTATCATAATAATTGATGGCCATTATCGTGGCAACTTATGCTCATTATCATGAAACTCGTACGTACGTATATACGTTATCATGTTATAATTTTATCTATCAACATTCCAACTAATTTAATATCAGAGAAATATCATAATTATCATCTTAATATATCTGAATTATCATTATCAACAATGCAACATCAAATCGTTATGATCCATGGCCAAAGTATAATTTATCCATAAATCAATGATTCTCATACTCAAGGCTATATAGGTGATATGAGTTGATATGAGCTGATATGATATAGTCTGATTATCATAATCATTCAAAATCATTAATCAATGATATTCAATGATCAATGATCATATCAGGTAAATATTACATAATCATATTAGCTAATCATAGGCTAATCAATGATCAAAAACAAACTGATCCATTTCCACTCAAAAAAACTGCTCGGCAGGCGTGCTGTCCGGCCCTGGCCCTTTTTGGCCAACCTGCGAGCAGGGGCCGGGAGCCTCGGGTGAGACACATATTGGGAAAAAACCTTGGAAAAATGATGGAAAAATGTGGAAGACTGCCAAATGCCAAACAGAGGATTTTAATTACCCATATTTGACCTACAATCAGACATCACTGAAAAATCAGGAGAGACATTTGAGCAAAGATGGCGAATGGCGGGGATCCATCTATAAACACAGGTAGATGAGGGTTTTCTTAACATAAGGGGTATATTCAAATTATTTACCTAAAGATAATGGGTATTCTTCAATCAGGTTTGCAGTTGGTGGATGTTGGTGGCTTCTATACGCCGTACGCAAAATGGAACGGAGATCCGTAACGGACAAAATACAGGGAATGTGATACTTTGGGATGGGTTGAAGCCACGTACATGATAGAAATGCGGACAGGGGTTACAATATCAAACAAGATTTGGAATGGAACTGTCCTTTTCCACATCTGAACATTGGAAGAATACGCTATTTGGAGAGATGCCCAGCAGCAGTGGACTTAGTGGCTTAATTAAAGGAAGCGCAAGAGGTTATTTGTTGAAATTTGTTCAGACCCCATTTAACATTTACAGTAACTCTCAACTTCAGCATCAGCCGACCCATGAAAAATTGAAAAGGAATTGTGGTATATGGGCCTCTTCACATTGAGGATTTGACAACAGATAGTCCTTCCGATTCCAATCATTTGGTCTTGGAAGATTTGGAAGTACTGTATATCACCTTGGGTCTCCCTATGAAATCTATGAATTGTCCTTGAAGCTCCCCTCCCAAGACCTACCGGAACCATCATTTTCACCTGAAGGCTTGGTACATGTCACCTGGACTGTTGGACGGCACCAGCTATTTCAAATCCATGGATGGACACAGGACGCTGGCCCCCTGGTTTTGTGCTTCGGAATGTTCCAGAATGGTCTCTCACTCTACATCAGTTACATCGACATTTGCTGTGCGGGACACCTCAACCAGGCATAACCAGGCTACCAAAAAAGGCTACCACAACCAGACGTCGTCGGCCAGGAATGCATGGGATTTCAGCCTCATCCGCCTCAATCTTCATGTGGCCCGGATGGCAGCAGGCCTTGAGCCTGATGGGCCCAGTCTTCACTCACAGATCTCACAGTTTCGCTGCATGTTTGCAGGCGAAGTTCGTTGAACATCGTTGAACTGGTAAGTCCGAGTTGACTGGGTTGGGGGAGTAATCCTCTTTTGCATTGTGAGCCATGTGTACCACAGGCAGCCCTTTTGTTTGACTTCTCTTGTGACTTGATGACAGGGGCTGGTGGTGTGGTTTTGGTGGATTGCACGGGCAACAGAAGGCAGGATGGCAAGTGATGCGCATCACACAAGTCCTCTGGGATCGGAACCTTGTGGGAAATGGGATGGGATGATCCCAACCAATCTGGCTTTCAGCGAAGCAAGTAATCAATCATCGAATCTGTTCTTGGTGCTTTTCCGGTGAGCTTCTCAACACATCATGAGTGGGGCAGACCATCCAAGGCACAATCAAAAGATAGCACTGAATGCCTCTTAGCCTTGGCGAACAAACTGAGCTTCTCGTGAATTCTGGCAAACCCAGATTTCCTCTACCATCAACCCTTGGTGAAAGCCTTCCTCACGATACGAGCCGTCCTTCCCTTACTTAGTTCTTGCATCATCCTTGCATATATCCATCATACCATCCAATATGGACCCCACAACACAACAACTACATCTTCATACTCAATCATATCTTAATCATTATATCAATCATATCATTCAGCCTGATACTTACTCAGTTGCAGAATGTTGCAGATGAGAGCTCAGTTGCACATGTTTTTGTACGTCTTCAGACAGCTTTCGTGGTGCCAGGAAGCGCTTTCCGGATTCCATGTGCGGTGACCCGGGTGACCCAGGGCCTCCCAAAGCTTCCCAGGGCGCCGCAGAAGCCAATTTGCCAAGGAGCAAAACGGTGCCCATTTGGTGTGCAGTGCTGCAAGCAGCGATGGAGGAGGTTCGGCCATGAAATGGGGCCTGGGGATTGGCTCATTAGTGGAGTACCCTCTGGTAAACTAACATAGCAATGAAAAATGACCATTTATAGTGGATTGATTTACCCATTAAAAATGGTGATTTTCCATAGCTATAATAGTTCACCAGTGGGTACTAGCACATGGGATCGGCTCAAACTCAGTGACCCCGAGAATTGGATATAATTGGATCATTTATTCATTGACCTTATACAAAATCCAAGCTCCACTGATACCTGGCCTTTTGAGATGCACCCGATTTGAGCCCATTTTGATCCCTTGATTTCCTATACACTGCCTTTCCCGAATGATGGCAGCTTTTCATACTGATTTCCTGCTGATTTCCTGCTGATATTTCCCGAATCTCATGGTTGATCTACCCGGTGACCAGCATGATCAACATTATATACATTTGCAGGGAACAACATTGAACAACCTCCGGCAGTTGTTTAAGGGTGGTGGTTTCAACAGTTATCTTTTTCACAGCCAAAAAAATCACCCACCAGATCTGTGCGGAAAAAATCATCGCAGGCTGTGGAGTTTGATCACCTCCTCCATTTGCCCTCGGATGCAGGGGATGCCCAGTGGGTGATCCAATGAGGTGCTGGAGTTTGATCAGCGATGTTTTGACAAAAAAATGGCTGATGTCGACACTTTCGCGCAGCTTATCACAGACAAAACAGGTGTATCTTATATATAATAATATATATAATATATAATATTATTATATTCAATTATATTCGTAGATTAATATGATTAAAAGTAGATTTTGATCAGGAAATCTCCGTGCGTTTGAGATCTCTGGGGCTATTTTTTCAGGTGCACGAGGAGAGGTTGGAGATTTTGAAACGCATGCCTCAGTGGGTGGAGATGCTGGAACGCCTAGCTGGGACGGGGGGCTGGTAAAGCCAATGATAAACCACCTCCAATGGCCCCAATAGAGGTTTATATTTTGGCGATTTTGGATGGTCTATTGAGTAAATCAATGAGATTTGCAGTGAGAAATCTGTAGCCGCACATAGCCGCACTGTCACTATTTCCCCTAATATGAAATCGCAAGGGATTTTCCTGAGACTAGATTTCATAGTAACGCTTGGGCCCCAGACGTTTTCCCTTCAACATTACTAATCAAAGTCAAATATGATCAAACATCATCAAACATAAGATGTTCCATTGATTTCCCCTTCTTTTTTTCTTAGAAACTTAGAAACTTAGAAACACACCACATATCAACCATCACAGGTTATCGCCACAGGCTTGGCCAAGCCCTACCTGGTGCAGAGCTCAAGGATTTAGCACAGCAGCTGTGCGGGATCCTGGTAGCAGTTGGGACCCACCCAAATTCTGTAGTTTTTGTTGGGGGCATATAATTTTTTGGGACCCAAATTTCTCATTTCGGCATTTCTTTTGGGGGGAAATATTGGGGAACGGTCATTTCAGAGTGCTATCTGTGGCTGCAAGCTTCAGAAATCAAGCAGCCGTGGCGCTGCACATAGTTTTGGAATTAGGAATTAGTCATTTTCCAAAGACGTGGGATGGATGAAAATATGATAAAATATGCGTAAAAGGTATAAAGACTGAAAGACATTGGGAGAAAACAACACATGAAGGTGAAACACTGTGGAATACTTCATCACTGGAGACATTATGCTATTCTCCTGGGATGCAGCATCTATGGTTGTAATGAGTGTCTCTTGAGGCTCAGGATTCAGGGATTGTTGAAACCTTCAGAGGTGTGGCAAGCGGCTCCGAGCCTGTTGGGTTTGCCCATCAGATGCAGGGGAACCTGGAGGCTTCCACCGTTGAGTTCAGAACAACCAGCCAGGGAATCCATCTCTTGTCATGCTGTATGAAGAAGGTTTAGGTTTAAGATGCAAGCAGCATTTCTGCGAAGATGTCTCAGATTCCTATTTCGATATATTTCATGTATAACTCCGCTGCATTCAGGATATGGGCCGGTTGAAGGAGTTGTTTTGCTGGAAGGCATTGGAAAACCTGTGAACACCCGAGAAAACAAGCGGCACTGCTGAGGGTACCAACAAATTACAGGAGATTGCTTCGTCCTGTTTACAGCTGCATTACATGACATATATCAAAATGTCTCAAATAGACTTATTATATGCTTATTATCATAAAGTTGATAGTTGACATTTAATACATATATATATATAGTGGAATCACAGCAAAGCTGAGGACTTGGAGCAGATGTCGGCGGTGCCTGGACAGCAATGGTCGCTACGCTTGCCATTGTTTGGGGATCATGCGTCCGATGCTTGGGAATTCATGACGAGGTGCCAGCCCAAAAAAGGAAAACATATTATTATGAGAAGCACGGATTCATACTATGTATGGTATGAATATATATTGTATTCATAATATTATGGGTATTCATACCCAATAAAGCATAATATTGTGAAAACATATTTATATGTATTCTACTTGTTTTTTGGATGTGCACTGATGAATCATCCACATTTTTTTTTTGCGTAAATGGGGTTTAAGCATGAAAAATGGTCTTCTAATAATGTCTAATATGGTTTTATACTTGGATTTAACCATTCAACATGATGGTGATATTATGTGAAATTCATAGGGTTATCATGATTTAACAAGTTTTAAAAGATGTGACCTAAACTAACTATGAGAAGTTGGATTAACCCATCCGGGTTGATCAGTCCATTTTCATAGCTGTCCAGGTCGATGTTGATGGAGCTTCGCCTTGTTGAAGCCCAACATTCAGACCCCGATATTGCGTGGTGTTAGGTTTTAAAGAGATAGAGACAGGGTTCACACAAACCACCCTCCGGTAAACTACGATAACATACGATAACTATGGAAAACCACCATCCTTACTAGGTATATCAACTATCAACGGCCATTTTCAATAGTTTAAACTGTTTACCAGAGAGTAGACATCTCAAACATGGGCCAAAAAGTAGCTAGCATCAGGTCCAAGATGCTGCTTCCCCAGTTCAGTGGTTTGGGGGCCTTGATGGCTCAAGTCTGCGTTTTTGAGAACAGAAAGTCTTTCTTGAGCACACCCGCTTAGCCGCTTTGCTGGTGTGCCATGGCTGCACAAAAAGTCAGTGGTTTCTACCGAAGAAACTTGGTATTTGGGGTCACAACCATATCCTCTGCAGTTGATATAATAGTTGGTTTCACCATAGTACTCATAGTACTGCAGTTTGGGGTGATGGGGTGAAACTGTCAACCATTTGTGAGCTATTGACTTCGATCACTATGGAATCTATGGAAAACCCCTGTACTGATTTGGGGCCAAAAGGGTTGTGCCCGTCTTAAAAAGTGTGCCCGTCGACGTGCCGCGATGGCAAATGTTTATAGTTTATAGTGCGGGAATATGTTATATTGCGGGGTGATTTTTTAACATGTGGACGCGTGGTATCCAAAGTTTAAGGGGTGCTAACCTCAAGACTACAGTCATTGGAGGCAAGGTAGGCTTGAAGGATATTTCCCCCTGACGTACAATGATGTGAGTCACTGGCATGAGTTCCTTCACTTCTGGTTCAACGAGTCCGCCTTAATGTGGGGACTCAATGCCAGACACCGCGGGGGCCCTTGTTTTCTTCTTTTAACGCTTCGATGGTTAGGTTGGACAGGGGGACGGTTAATATTTGGGGTTTGCCACTGTACTCTGGAAACCGTGGCTATACAATCTGCCCATCCATTGCTTTGAGCCAGGTTTGATAAAGGACATGGCTATACATGGCTTCAATCCTATGGCTCAGGAGGAATTCTTGCAATCCCTTGGGAGGGCCCAAAAGAGACCGGTAGAAACCGTAGGACCACAGGGCTAGCAAGATCCTGGCACTGCAGTTTTTGCCAAGTACATAAACAACACGAACTAATTAATATAGGTTTGTCAGAAAAGATGGCCCTCCAAAATCCCATAGCTTAGTTTTTTTTCCCTCGAAATACTATAGATGAAGCAGCGGCCCTCATGTTTCCGCTTTTTTTTGGCGGCATCCTGTTGTTTTTAATTGGTGTGTAGTTCACCCCTTTAAGGTGACGTTGAAAAGCGACATATAAGGACTCCTGTTCTCGTTGGTTCAATTTCCTGTTTGTTGATGAAATTATGGTCGCAATGCGCAACCTCGTTTTTTGATGCTTTTTGTTTGCTGGCGCAAGTCTTAGTTGCCGAATTGCACAAGTTTTCTGGTTCAAACACATTTTTCCGAGACTTGGTTAAACAGGACATGTTTGAGAATCAACACAGCAGTTGGATATCAAGAAATTGCAGTTTCCCGGCTTACTGCAAGAAATCCTTGAAATCAAACTGCGCCATGTCATGTTGTGACATATACGTACCTGTTTTTGTTGGTTCAATTCTCTTTCTTCTTGGTTCGTTCCGAACTTTGTTGGAAGTCCTCAAGGTTTGACCTTAGGTGCTTGCTGGGATGCCACCAAAGAGTACAAGAGCGCATGACAGCGAATCCTCCGGTTCGGCGTCGACTTTGACAGGTTGGAAAGATGAATTAAGCCAGATGAGTCTGTGTGATATATAATGATTAATATATATATAATTATACATATATATATATATACTGTATTGATAATCACATATATATATAATTATATACAATATATTCCCCAACTTCACAAAAGGAGTGGTTTTGCGTTTTCCTGTTTCCTAAGGTATGGAAAATGGTTTCTAGAGCCAGAACGTGATGTTTCATCGACATTTTGATGCGAGCTTTACTTGGCTATCCAAACATGTTGATATAATCAGCAAAATGGTGATATAGTCCAAGAAGAGGATTATTTTCGAAACAAAAATAGGTACAGAACACAGTACATGCGTGTCAATCACTTTGTGTATTTTTTGCGCAAAACATGAGAAAACCTGTATATATATAGATAAATGTGGCCACTCTTCAATACAGGGGTGATGCTGCCCATCAATGATGGGTCATCCTGGAATCGAAGCGAAGATCGTAACACCCCTAGCGTCTTTGGACAGTGGTAAAAAGGACAGAATGGCTGATGGATTGAAGAAAGCCCCACATGAGATAGTTATTTAAACAACATGGGATAGTTAGCCAACAAGATGGTAGGGCTATCATCTACACTGGAGAAGATGAATGTTGGTTGTACATTTTGGTGGAAACCAACAATCCCGTTGGAGGGTGAGGGAATTTATTTGAAGGTGACAAGACACAACAAGCGGCTTCAGCGGGATACCTGAGAAACTTCCCTTCTTCTGGGCTCACTAGGTACCCACTCAAAGTGGTACTTGCATATTACAATGACACTTTCTTACAGGATTGGACGATAAGATCAATAAGTCAAATAAGTGAACACATTACAGGACAATTCCATTATTTGGATGTAGCCCTACCCAGCAGTACCCAGGTGTATGCAATGTCAATGGTACTGTAATTCCTCTGGTCAACAGGTGCTGATGGCTCTGGTGTTCATTGGTTTCTGACACAACACTAAGACATCATCAAATGCTGAATCCGCTTAGTCATGAACAATGGGGTGACATATTCCATTGTCATATTCGAATTTACTTACTGTCAGGATGGGTTCTACTCGTGAACGAGCACCTTGGGGATTCTTTGGCTGACAGTCACAGCGGCAGAGAAACAATACACACTGGGCCAAGCGAACAATCTGGGCAATCTGGGCAATCTGGACAATCTGAGCACTCTGGGCAATCTGGACAATCTGGACAACCTGAGCACCCTGGGCAATCTGAACAATCTGGGCAATCTGAGTACTCTGAGGAATGTGGACAATCTGGGCAATCGGAGTTCTCTGGGCAATCTGGGCAATCTGAACACTGTCACTCTGGGCAATCTGGTTCGGATGAGGAGAGGACGGTTTCGGATCCTCATCCGCCTCGATCATCCGAATCGACATCAGCTGAGAGCCGACGAGCTGTTCCAGATCCAGTCACAGCTGTTCCGCGTCCAGTGGGTCTACAGAGGACGGTTTCGGATCCTCATCTGCCTCGATCATCCGAATCGACATCAGCTGAGAGCCAACGAGCTGTTCCAGATCCAGTCACAGCTGTTCCTCGTCCAGTGGGTCTACAGTCACCAAGGGATCTACAAAGGGATCCCAAGTCTGGGTCTGCCGAGGATCATCGGAATGAGCCCTGTCTCTTCCATTCCTACCAAGGCTGTCTGAAAGGGGATCAGTGTGAATATTCACATCTTATCCATGCAGATCAAATCCAGATTTTGGGGCCCAAGACCCGGCGCGGCCACGCCGTCCTGCGCATCAAGCGGCGCGTGGCGCATTGGCTAAGCACCGCAGATCTGTATTTGGTGCATCACGAGCTCCAGGAAGAGGCGCGGAAGGACCCCGACGCCAAGGACTGCGAAAAATCCTTGGAATATGGGATATCATTGGGATAGGCGAGAATAGGCGGCGATATTTGGATGAAACCAGGGGATTCCCCCATATTCCCCCCTTTCATGGCCAATCTGAGGAAAATGAGGTGATGTTCCAGTGGCATGGGGAGCACCTCATTTTCAGACAAACCCATGTTATTTCTTACATGGTGCGAACGGTCTTGGTTTGCCTTTGCCCAGAATTTTAAGCATTTCTCTGGAATATGACCCGTTGAAGGGACTGATTGTCAAGAAAAAACATGAGAGTTTGGGATTTTGGGGTACATACCTATATTTTGGGGCCAAAGTGTGTTTCTATTTTGGGGTTGTCTATTATTGTGTATGATTTGTGATAGGCTTCCTGATCGTGATTAATCGTGTATGCCCATGATGAGGGTGACTTTTTACATTTTTTACGGACAGGGGTGGCCACAACCGCCCAGTAGAGAGGAAAGAGTTCCAGGATGTTGTGGATGATCTTCAGTTCGGAATTTCCAGGTGTCCAATGTTACGTAGGCTACGGGTGGGGGAGTGTTCTTGTCAATGAAAACTTGGAAAACATCGGGGAAAACTGGCAAACAAACGGTGAGGAACTGATCCGAAGGCATCTCACACGCGCAGCCAGCAGTTCTCATGTTTGGCTTTGAGCTCTTTGAGTCGCCCCAGGGGGTTTGGGAGGCACCAAACAGTGGTGATGCGGCAGAAGTCACGTTGTCGGAGCGTGCCTTGATGAGAGGTTTATGGATGAAGTGGAAATGCGGAAATGAATGATAATGATATACACATATATCACATGCGCATTTACTCATATTATCTCATGATTTTTGATCTAAATTTGAACACATGTACTTATCGTTTTTTCTAGGGTATGCTTAGACGTTGTTGAACTCTATAATTGAATGAAAAAAGGGTCGTGGAAGCTTGATAGGAGCTGCGTTTCATGGGTTGATTAGTGCGGATCACTTCCGTTACAATTTGAGATTGTCAAAATATTGGATTCTTATTTTCCCCATTACTGCAAAACTATTTTATACTTGCCATTTTGGGGGTAAAAAGATGGTATGTACCCCTTGTTCAGACAATTTGCAGATTTGGACTCCAATCTCTCTACAGTAACAAACATTCCCTCTTTCAGACAGGATCAGATTCGTTGACGGGTCTCTATGACGTGCTTTTCCAGACTAACCCTTGCTCCTGAAAATATGATGATTTAGCGCTGGATTAGATCAATAAGTTTAAACCCGGAAGACTGACAAAGCATGGCTATGTCAAATAAGAAACTCACCTTGAAAGCCCATTGGTGGAGTTCCATGTGATCCTTTTTTTGGGGTGTACACTATACAATTTAATCAATATACAGACATTCCTGTACACAAGGGTGCCAATATCTTACCAAAGCGAAATTCAACCTGAATTCACGCCACCAGTTTCAGCCTTCTGCTTGTTTTCAGAGAGATGCGCCTTCAGTTTTGCATGGTTTCACTTCTTCCAGACACCTTGGCTCAGCAGAGCCAGCAGTACTGTCACAAAGCCAAATCGGGACAAGCAACAATTGGCCGATCATTCAAGGCCCCCAAACAAGCAAATGCACATAATTCTACAGGGCACAAGTTCGAATGCAGTGGTTTTGTGAGTTCGCAATCCCGATTCTTGCAGCTGCAGTGGCCTGGTATTGGCTGGCATTTAGTGGATGATATTTCATGGTCTCGAGACACTGTGTAAAAATATGAGGTGGCACCTGTAGAAACCTGTCCAGATCCGTGCTTGAGATGTCATATGTTTTTGTTGATTCATTTTGCTTCAGGTGTCAGAAACAAAAAAGGTACTGCTGCAGTTCTCTTCTGGTTCTGTTGAGGCCCCTTTTTTCTTTTTTATTTGGCTCGGGTTTCTACATGCCCATGTTCCTGAGTTTCGTTGAATTTAGTGTACCTATACAGGGTCAGTCTCGAGGCTTGTCGAGGAAAACAGGCCCAAGACGAGCGTTCAGTGGAAGAAGATGAAGTAGATGAGTAATGATGAGTGTATTTTGGTCGTTGAATGCACTTCTTACGACATCTTTTGACATGATGATCTTTTATGGGGATGCGTTACCTCGTCAAACCAAACACTACCGAGTGAAGCCATATAATTTCTTGCTCAATGATAAAGGTTTCATGGCGAGAAAAAGATAGTTTCTTCATACTTCTTCCAGACACCTTGGCTCAGAAGAGCCAGCAGTAGCGTCACAAAGCCAAATCGGGACAAGCAATAATTGGTCGATCATGGTTCAAGGCCCCCAAACAAGCAAATGCACATAATTCTACAGGGTACAAATTCATACAAATTCGAATGCAGTGGTTTTGTGAGTTCGCAAACCCGATTCTTGCAGCTACAGTGGCTTGGTATTGGCATTCAATAGACGATGTTTCACATGTTTTGTATCATCTCGAGACGCGCGGAGCGGTTTTGACTTGGACCGCAAGTGTCAAGAGATGAGGTGGAACCTGTAGGAACCTGAAGTTGTCCAGGTCACGTCTTGAGATGTGATATGTTTTGGATTCATTGTGTTTCAGGTGAAACAGTTTCAGGTGGCGCAAAAGGGTTTCCATCTCATTCTCTTGAACAGCTCCACTGGAAATCGTGGCTCAGCACAGAATCTGGCAAGCTGTCCATCTCGAGGGTCGAGGAACACAGGCCCAAGACGAGTGTGAGGAAGATGAAGAAGTGGATGAGTAACGATGAGTGTATTTTAGTCGTTGAATGCAATTCTTAGACATGAATCATTTATTTGATATGGTGAGTGAGAATAGTACCATAGGGTAACAATCACCTTTACAACTCCTTTACAATGCCGCATGTGCAGGGTGGATCCATTTCTATCGTTTCTTATCTGTTATTGTATGATCATTTAGGATGCCAAACACTACCGAGGGAAGCCATCATGAGTTTCATGGCGGGAAGAAATTGACTTCTTCATACTTCTTCCAGACACCTTGGCTCAGCAGAGCCAGCAGTAGCGTCACAAAGCCAGATCGGGATAAAACAGAATATATATGTATATATATAATACATTATATACATATAATATTACCCACGGATGCCGTGTGTTTCCCAGACATTAACATTGAGAATGTCGTGCTGTCGAATATATGATAGGAGAGATTGCAGAAAATACTGCGTATACGCAGTGTTCTCCAGTGTAGGATTCAAAGTTTTCAGAGCCTAGGTTTTAGGGTTTAGGGTTTGGGATTTTAGGGTTTGGGGTTTTAGGGTTTAGGATGGTTTAGGGTTTTAGGGTTTAGGGTTCGTCGTCTGGGAAACCTCAAAACACTGGCCCTGCCCAGGTGTTTGAGCATGTTGAAGGATAGTAGTGTTTAAACATGTTTAAACATGTTTAAATGCCATTTGGCTTCGGATCGACCTCCGAATGGCACTTAGAATCCCCAGCTGAGGATTTGAAGAACTTGGAGAAGGACTTTGTTTTGATCCTCTGCGTCTCAGCTTCCAAGGCACCCCCTCTCCCGCAGCGTCAGTTGGGGACACATTGTCAGCTCAGTTCGCAGGTTGAGATGGGGAGCACTTCATATGTTCAGGGAGCAGGAGACGATGAGGAGGCGTCTCTGCTGGGATCGCGTCTGTAGGGTGCTGATTTGAATATGCCAAGACTCACCAGCTGACGTGTTTTGATTCCCACCGATTCCGTGTCAAATCTCCAGACATGAGTTTGACTGCGTTTGCGCTCTTTGTTTGGCGACATTGATGCAGTTTGTTCGGCTGCTGCATACAGTTTTTTTTTCAGATCCAGAAAGCAAAGTACGATGGGTATAGCCTAGCCGATAAAGACATCGATTGAAAATTGGAAATAAACATAAATTAAACTAAATGAATGATTATTACGAAAGCCAGCCGGGAAGCTGGCTAGTTGTTATTTGCGAACGAAGTGAGAATAGGGGGTCTGGGGGGGTAGCTGTCAAACGGGCCGAAAACGGCGTAAATAGGTTGTGTTCTAGGACCGCGCAAAGTATGGTTTTGCAGGGTAATGTACCAGGCGGCAAAACAGTGACGGTGGGTATCGATTCCCCCTAGGTCCGGTTTTCTGGGGTTTTCTGGGCTCAGTCAATGGACAGATAGATGGGCCAGCTAGTTAGAGGAGATTGGAGAGAGAAGGACATTGGGTGAAAAGTATGTGCAAGAAGGGTTTCTGGGTGAAGAGTCTCTGGGTGAAAAGTATATGGTTGAAAAGTCTGTGCAAGAAGAGTTTCTGGGTGAAGAGTCTCTGGGTGAAAAGTCTGTGCAAGAAGAGTTTCTGGGTGAAGAGTCTCTGGGCGAAAAGTATATGGGTTAAAAGTATGTGCAAGAAGAGTTTCTGGGTGAAGAGTCTCTGGGTGAAAAGTATATGAGTGAAAAGTATGTGCAAGAAGAGTTTCTGGTTGAAGAGTCTCTGAGTAAAAAGTATATGGGTGAAAAGTATGTGCAAGAAGAGTTTCTGGGTGAAGAGTCTCTGGGTGAAAAATCTGTGCAAAAAGAGTTTCTGGGTGAAGAGTCTCTGGATGAAAAGTATATGGGTTAAAAGTATGTGCAAGAAGAGTGTCTCGGTGAAGAGTCTATGGGTGAAAAATATGTGGGTGAAAAATTAGTGCAAGAAGAGTTTCTGGGTGAAAAGTATGTGCAAGAAGAGTTTCTGGGTGAAGAGTCTCTGGGTGAAAAGTATATGGGTGAAAAGTATGTGCAAGAAGAGTTTCTGGGTAAAGAGTTTCTGGGTGAAAAGTATGTGCAAGAAAGTGTCTGGGTGAAGAGTCTCTGGGTGAAAAGTATATGAGTGAAAAGTAAGTGCACGAAGAGTTTCTGGGTGAAGAGTCTCTGGGTGAAAAGTGTATGGGTGAAAAGTATGTGCAAGAAGAGTTTCTGGGTGAAGAGTCTCTGGGTGAAAAGTATATGGGTGAAAAGTATGTGCAAGAAGAGTTTCTGGGTAAAGAGTCTCTGGGTGAAGAGTCTGTGCAAGAAGAGTTTCTGGGTGAAGAGTCTTTGGGTGAAAACTATGTACAAGAAGAGTTTCTGGGTGAAGAGTCTCTGGATGAAAAGTATATGGGTGAAAAGTATATGGGTGAAAAGTATGTGCAAGAAGAGTTTCTGGGTGAAGAGTCTTTGGGTGAAAAGTATATGGATGAAAAATATGTGCAAGAAGAGTTTCTGGGTGAAGAGTCTCGGGGTGAAAAGTATATGGGTGAAAAGTATGTGCAAGAAGAGTTTCTGGGTGAAGAGTCTCTGGGTGAAAAGTATATTGGTGAAAAGTATGTGCAATAAGAGTTTCTGGGTGAAGAGTCTCTGGGTGAAAAGTATATGGGTGAAAAGTATGTGCAAGAAGGGTTTCTGGGTGAAAAGTATATGGGTGAACAGAATGTGCAAGAAGAGTTTCTGGGTAAAGAGTCTCTGGGTGAAAAGTATATGGGTGAAAAGTATGTGCAAGAAGAGTTTCTGGGTGAAAAGTATATGGGTGAAATGTCTGTGCAAGAAGAGTTTTTGGGTGAAGAGTCTCTGGGTGAAAAGTCTCTGGGTGAAAAGTATATGGGTGAAAAGTATGTGCAAGAAGAGTTTCTGGGTGAAAAGTATGTGCAAGAAAGTTTCTGGGTGAAGAGTCTCTGGGTGAAAAGTATATGGGTGAAAAGTATGTGCAAGAAGAGTTTCTGGGTGAAGAGTCTCGGGGTGAAAAGTATATGGGTGAAAAGTATGTGCAAGAAGAGTTTCTGGGCGAAGAGTCTCTGAGTGAAAAGTATATTGGTGAAACGTATGTGCAAGAAGAGTTTCTGGGTGAAGAGTATCTGGGTGAAAAGTATATGGTTGAAAAGTATGTGCAAGAAGAGTCTCTGGGTGAAAAGTATATGGGTGAAATGTCTGTGCAAGAAGAGTTTTTGGGTGAAGAGTCTCTGGGTGAAGAGTATATGGGTGAAATGTCTGTGCAAGAAGAGTTTCTGGGTGAAAAAAGAGTTTCTGGGTGAAGAGTCTCTGGATGAAAAGTATATGGATTAAAAGTAAGTGCAAGAAGAGTTTCTGGGTGAAGAGTCTCTGGGTGAAAATATGTGGGTGAAAAGTATTTGTAAGAAGAGTTTCTGGGTGAAGAGTCTCTGGGTGAAAAGTATATGGGTGAAAAGTATGTGCAAGAAGAGTTTCTGGGTGAAAAGTCTCCCTGGTGAAAAAGTATATGGGAAAATATGTGCAAGAAGAGTTTCTGGGTGAAGATTCTCTGGGTGAAAAGTATATGAGTGAAAAGTATGTGCAAGAAGGGTTTCTGGGTGAAGAGTCTCTGGGTGAAAAGTGTATATATGGGTGAAAAGTATGTGCAAGAAGAGTCTCTGGGTGAAAAGTTGTGCAAGAAGAGTTTCTGGGTGAAGAGTCTCTGGGTGAAAAGTATATGGGTGAAAAGTATGTGCAAGAAGAGTTTCTGGGTGAAGAGTCTCTGGGTGAAAAGTATATGAGTGACAAGTATGTGCAAGAAGAGTTTCTGGTTGAAGAGTCTCTGGGCGAAAAGTATATGGGTGAAAAGTATGTGCAAGAAGAGTTTCTGGGTGAAGAGTCTCTGGGTGAAAAATCTGTGCAAAAAGAGTTTCTGGGTGAAGAGTCTCTGGATGAAAAGTATATGGGTTAAAAGTATGTGCAAGAAGAGTGTCTCGGTGAAGAGTCTATGGGTGAAAAATATGTGGGTGAAAAATTAGTGCAAGAAGAGTTTCTGGGTGAAAAGTATGTGCAAGAAGAGTTTCTGGGTGAAGAGTCTCTGGGTGAAAAGTATATGGGTGAAAAGTATGTGCAAGAAGAGTTTCTGGGTGAAGAGTTCTGGGTGAAAAAGTATATGGGCGAAAAGTATGTGCAAGAAGAGTTCTGGGTGAAGAGTCTCTGGGTGAAAAGTATATGGGTGAAAAGTATGTGCAAGAAGGGTTTCTGGGTGAAAAGTGTATGGGTGAAAAGTATGTGCAAGAAGAGTTTCTGGGTGAAGAGTCTCTGGGTGAAAAGTATATGGGTGAAGAGTATGTGCAAGAAGAGTTTCTGGGTACAGAGTCTCTGGGTGAAGAGTCTGTGCAAGAAGAGTTTCTGGGTGAAGAGTCTTTGGGTGAAAACTATGTACAAGAAGAGTTTCTGGGTGAAGAGTCTCTGGATGAAAAGTATATGGGTGAAACGTATATGGGTTAAAAGTATGTGCAAGAAGAGTTTCTGGGTGAAGAGTCTTTGGGTGAAAAGTATATGGATGAAAAATATGTGCAAGAAGAGTTTCTGGGTGAAGAGTCTCGGGGTGAAAAGTATATGGGTGAACAGTCTGTGCAAGAAGAGTTTCTGGGCGAAGAGTCTCTGAGTGAAAAGTATATTGGTGAAAAGTATGTGCAATAAGAGTTTCTGGGTGAAGAGTCTTTGGGTGAAAAGTATATGGGTGAAAAGTATGTGCAAGAAGGGTTTCTGGGTGAAGAGTCTTTGGGTGAACAGAATGTGCAAGAAGAGTTTCTGGGTAAAGAGTCTCTGGGTGAAAAGTATATGGTTGAAAAGTATGTGCAAGAAGAGTCTCTGGGTGAAAAGTATATGGGTGAAATGTATGTGCAAGAAGAGTTTTTGGGTGAAGAGTCTCTGGGTGAAAAGTCTCTGGGTGAAAAGTATATGGGTGAAAAGTATGTGCAAGAAGAGTTTCTGGGTGAAAAGTATATGGTTGAAAAGTATGTGCAAGAAGGTTTTCTGGGTGAAGAGTCTGTGGGTGAAGAGTATATGGGTGAAATGTCTGTGCAAGAAGAGTTTCTGGGTGAAGAGTTTCTGGGTGAAAAGTATGTGCAAGAAAGTTTCTGGGTGAAGAGTCTTTAGGTGAAAAGTATATGGGTGAAAAGTATGTGCAAGAAGAGTTTCTGGGTGAAGAGTCTGTAGGTGAAAAGTATATGGGTGAACAGTCTGTGCAAGAAGAGTTTCTGGGCGAAGAGTCTCTGAGTGAAAAGTATATTGGTGAAACGTATGTGCAAGAAGAGGTTCTGGGTGAAGAGTATCTGGGTGAAAAGTATATGGTTGAAAAGTATGTGCAAGAAGAGTCTCTGGGTGAAAAGTATATGGGTGAAATGTTTGTGCAAGAAGAGTTTTTGGGTGAAGAGTCTCTGGGTGAAGAGTATATGGGTGAAATGTCTGTGCAAGAAGAGTTTCTGGGTGAAAAAAGAGTTTCTGGGTGAAGAGTCTCTGGATGAAAAGTATATGGGTGAAATGTCTGTGCAAGAAGGGTTTTTGGGTGAAGAGTCTCTGGGTGAAGAGTCTTTGGGTGAAAAGTATATGGGTGAAAAGTATGTGCAAGAAGAGTTTCTGGGTGAAAAGTATATGGGTTAAACGTATGTGCAAGAAGAGGTTCTGGGTGAAGAGTCTGTGGGTGAAGAGTATATGGGTGAAATGTTTGTGCAAGAAGAGTTTCTGGGTGAAAAGTATATGGGTTAAAAGTATGTGCAAGAAGAGTTTCTGGGTGAAGAGTCTCTGGGTGAAAAGTATATGGTTGAAAAGTATGTGCAAGAAGAGTCCCTGGGTGAAAAGTATATGGGTGAAAAGTATGTGCAAGAAGAGTTTCTGGGTGAAGAGTCTCTGGGTGAAAAGTATATGGTGAAAAGTATGTGCAAGAAGAGTTTCTGGGTGAAGAGTCCCTGGGTGAAAAGTATATGGGTGAAAAGTATGTGCAAGAAGAGTTTCTGGTGAAGAGTGTATGGGTGAAAAGTATGTGCAATAAGAGTTTCTGGGTGAAGAGTCTCTGGGTGAAAAGTATATGGGTGAAAAGTATGTGCAAGAAGAGTTTCTGGGTGAAGAGTCTCTGGGTGAAAAGTATATGGGTGAAAAGTATGTGCAAGAAGAGTTTCTGGGTGAAGAGTCTCTGGATGAAAAGTATATGGGTGAAAAGTATGTGCAAGAAGATTTTCTGGGTGAATAGTCTCTGGGTGAAAGGGGTATTGGTGAAATGAATGTGCAAGAAGAGTTTCTGGGTGAAGAGTCTCTGCGTGAAAAATCTGTGCAAAAAGAGTTTCTGGGTGAAGAGTCTCTGGGTGAAAAATCTATGCAAGAAGAGTTTCTGGGTGAAGAGTCTCTAGGTGAAGAGTCTCTGGGTGAAAAGTATATGGGTGAAAAGTATGTGCAAGAAGAGTTTCTGGGTGAAAAGTATATGGGTGAAAAGTATGTGCAAGAAGGGTTTCTGGGTGAAGAGTCTGTGGGTGAAGAGTATATGGGTGAAATGTCTGTGCAAGAAGAGTTTCTGGGTGAAGAGTGGGTGAAAAGTATATGGGTGAAAAGTATGTGCAAGAATGTTTCTGGGTGAAGAGTCTCTGGGTGAAAAGTATATGGGTGAAAAGTATGTGCAAGAAGAGTTTCTGGGTGAAGAGTCTCTGGGTAAAGAGTATATGGGTGAAGAGTATGTAGAAGAGTTTCTGGGTGAAGAGTCTCTGGGTGAAAAGTATATGGGTGAAAAGTATGTGCAAGAAGAGTTTCTTGGTGAGAGTTCATGGGTGAAAATATGTGGGTGAAAAGTATTTGTAAGAAGAGTTTCTGGGTGAAGAGTCTCTGGGTTGAAAAGTATATGGGTGAAAAGTATGTGCAAGAAGAGTTTCTGGGTGAAAAGTATGTGCAATAAGAGTTTCTGGGTGAAGAGTCCCTGGGTGAAAACTATATGGGTGAAAAGTATGTGCAAGAAGGGTTTCTGGGTGAAGAGTCTCTGGTTGAAACATATTGGAGGACATAGGGATAGATGCGATGCTGGCTTTCGTTCCCCCCTTCTCAGGTAATATATTATAATATATTATAATTAAAATATCTTAAAAGTGGATATTAAGATTATGATTAAGATTATTATAATTAAAAGATCACATGAATCTTGAGTCTTTTCAGTTCCCAATCTGATTGGGATGTGTTCGTCCCCCAAAAAAAATCTGTCCCGTTGCCTCGTCCAGGCCTGGGCTCAGCAACTTTCTTTGACACCAGAGCTGTTTTGGAAGCACGTCTGACGCCAAGGGCAGCCAGGGGGCTGTGCAAAAGTTTGGAGATCCATGGGTATCCAATGGCTGTAACTAGGCTGTAACTGTAACTACTACACTTGAGAAATAACATTGACGACTGAACCTTCAGTGAAACTTGACGACTGATAATCCAACCATCCATCCATCCATCCATCCATCATCCAACCATCCATCCATCCATCCAACCATCCATCCAACCATGCAGGCCAATTTTGGTCCAGACGCGAACAGCTCTCTGCCCACAGCGATCCCATCCCACCATCGCCATGGCGTCGCCTCTTGCGTCTCGAGATCCCAAGCTGGTGCCCTGGATGTTTCGGGGGTGATGCCATGGCTGCCATGGGACCAAGGCCTTTTTTTCACCCACTAAAATGATCTATAGATGGGGATGTAGCAAAACTCTGCAGGGATGGTTTCAGGATGTTGGAGGCATATCTAGAAATGATGAAGTGAGAAGAAGTGAGATGGATTAATGTATTGAGATATGATATCCCAGTGTGACAGGTCCTAATTTCGATGAGTGCGTGAAGACTGGGTTTGCAACTATAGAGTCTGAGACAATTGACTTGAAGATACTGCGTAGATTGTGATTCATAGTGCTAATATATGTTACTGATAATTCGATAATTGACTTAGTTTAAACTTCCAGTGATCATGTTCATTCCACCATGACTGATCCACGTATCGCGGGACGGACCCAGGGTGTCCTTAACCAAAGCTGCAGGCTAAGCCCGCTTCATCTCCCAGCTCTCCGACAGCCACGGGTTCCCCAACCACTGCCAGTGACAAGAGCTCCAGTGCTGAGACACAACTTGACAAGGATTCCCGGATATTCCAGATAATTTCTGGGATTGGCTAATTGGGGATGGGTTTTTTGGGATGGTTTGTTGATGGTGGTACCGTTCAAGATACCAGAATAACATTTGAATACGTCTTGCTGTTTACCCAGTACTTGTACGACTTTTTTTGGTGCCAAGACTCTTGTGCAAGCTTGTTGGATATATATCCCAGTCTATCCCAATATCCCATTAAATATCGCGTTTAAGTTATCCAATTCTGAACCCATATGGACCATGTTTTTCCATGGTTTTCCCCTCAAGCCACGTCCAGCAGGACACCAGCCTCGCGCTGCAGAAGGAGCTGCTGGACATCTTCACCGCGCCCGGGGTTCAGAAGAAACTGCGGGAGATTCGCGACTCTGGAGCCGCTGGGTGGAAAGAAAAACGGCTTGAGGGATGGGGAATCCCGGGAGGGGAAGCAGTTTTTGAGCGCCGATGAATGCCGTTTTTTGTTGGTTAAACGGTCAAAGTCCAACGGGATGCGATCCAAGGGATGGCTTGAAGAACACGTTGGATTCATCGAGATATGGTTTTTGGATGTTTTTGGGCCCAAGAATTGGAGGGTTTCGAACTGAAAATGTCTGGCAGGGCCTTGACTTTTGACCCATGCTATAGCGGAATGGCCCCCGGCACAGGTGAAGTGCCCAACTCTTGCAGCCCTGTTGGACACCAAAGAACAACGGAAGCTGCTGGAGAAGTATGGCCTGGATGCCTCCCTCTCAGATCTCAAGGAGGTCACGTACATCTGGAGAAACTTTGAGAACCTCTGAACAAATCCTCAAAACTTCACGTTCATAGCGTTTAATTTGTGAGGGTAGGGATTGGGATCCAGTTCCAGAACTGGCCCAAGAAACGTCAGAAAGTCGCTAGTGGAATGATCCATCTGTCCCGAATTTAGGGTCAAGTGCATCTAAAGTTCCACGGCTGAGCTTTGCTTCTGCCGTTTCAGCATGCCTTAGGACCTTATATTTTAAAGACCCGCCCCAAAGATTCGGTGAGTCGACCGTGCAACATGGTCCTAATCGCCCTGCCTGAGGACTGATCCGGATGTCTATGTGAATCATGCATCCATCCAGGAGGCTTTGGGCTTTTCAACGGTGAAGGATCAAGATGTGCAGATGCCCAAGGGATACAAGCAACCTCTCAACAAACAAAGCCTGATTCGCCTCATGAAGAGTCTGCTCAAGACCGACGGCAGCCGGGAGGGAAGACTTGTGTACCTCTAGAGACTCTAGAGGGTCAGTGATTCGTTTAGTGAGACTTAATACATCAATTACTACATCGTCAATCATCACAAAAATCGATACATCCTTGTGGATTACTTCTGAAATGCAAAGCTACTGTGCGCTAGCCGCTAGTCAATAGATGATGTCAATACTGCCGTGTGGCACTTCATCTCAATCACCTCCTATCCTTTATTTTCCAGCGATATTTTGTTGACCTGCTGCACAGCAATACTACTACCCCAAGAGCTATGGTTCGGTTTAGCAAGGCACCAAAGATCCATTCAGACATATTCAAACCAACCCTTTTCTCCATCGAGAACGTATTGGTGATGCATGAAGCAATCTGAAAAGCTATGTCGAAGTGGATCATCATGAAGCATCTGACCCGTTTAGTAGAGTGCCAGAAAGACCAACTCGCATCAACTTGGCTGTAGCAACTAACCACACTGTGGGGATCCATGATTTGCATTGATTTGCAATATGTTTCATACAGATGCTCTATTTGTCCAGCAATAGGATTTCGAAATCTCAGAATAATCTCAGGATTTCATGGCACGTGCTGACAGTCCCTGGATCCATTTGTGGCTCACCAGGAGTTACAGCGAGCCTGACTTCCAAGCAGCGATCGAAGATATGAAACGTCGTGCTGATGCCAGCAAGGAGGGAAGCAAGATACAAAAGGATGGCTATTACCACCTTCCTGGCAGGGAAGCTGTCGCCTTCGCTGTGCAAGAGCAGCTGTTGCCATGTTGCTTGCCAAGCACAGTTGCAATTTCAATTTGAACTTTTGAACTTCAAATGTTTGTTTGGTACTGCATGATTTGAGTTGAGTTTTAGTTCTGATATGTTCTGATCATTCTGGAAGAGGCTTCGCTTATCATCCTACGACCTAAGACCTCAGTTTTCATATATTTTCATAGCCATATCTCCATAACTACTCGCAGTCGGAGTCAGGGTGGAAACATGTGGAAACACAATCCGTTTGTTGTCTCAAGACCATTTTGGACATACGCTCCAGGAAACAACCCTGACAGCAGAAAGTCTACCATTTCCACCCGCAACGCATTCGCATTCTTCTTCGATAAAAACACACATTCGAACGGGCCAAAGTTAAAGATCAACAGAGGACGAATACAGTCCGAAAATAGGGTATACGTCACGTCTAAATCTATACTGGTTAATAAATGTTACAGTAATCATCATTTTCCCAACCGCCAATTTGGAAGATATCTATAAAACCCCATCTATCCAGACGAAAAAATCGCTCATCAATTTCTGCCATCCCAGGTTTTGGGCTTCAGGCTACTCGGGAGGGTGTTACCGAAATGATCAAGCGATGCGCCGAGCATTTGGACGACCCAGAGGTGGCTCAGTTGATGGACTCAGTCAATGCGAAGCTCGGTTTTTTTTTTGTGCTCGACCCGCTTGACCGGCGATTTTGTCGGGTTTTGGTACAAGCAAAATGCGGAGTAAACCAACGGACATTTGGAGGTTCAACAAGAGTAACATAGGATTTAAACATGTTGAAACCACTAAGAATTGCAGGTTAAACACGAACAATTTTCAGGAATGTAGCGACCTCATGGCTGAACACGCACCAGAACTGATGGCAAACCTTGAGGAAGCCATGATATGAGGTCCCAAGATCAGGTTTTGGGACTTCATAGGACTGATATGATCCAGAACTGTGTTTATTTTTCATAGCCATGAGGTCAAAACACGGTTGTTGTTTTCCCATAAGTTCGTGAATGGGCCTCCATCCATCAATAGCGATTTATATACTCACTATGTTTGGATTCACAATATGATATAGTATCATTTATATTCATTTATTACATTTTATTACTATGTTTTGACATGTTTTGACCATGGCACTAATATCGGTGAACAGGACTTGATGACGTGATGACAGGGTGAAGGCTCCAGCCACTGGGCCACATCAAAACTTCATAATCTTCAATATATCTTCATAATTTCACAAAGAATGGATGGTTGATACATGTTGATACAATGTTTTCAAAGCACCAGGATTTTCCCATCCAAAGCCACTCCACCAGGGCTCCATGATTTGCTCCCAGGAAGCTGGGCATGTCATCAGCCGCCTGCGAGCGCTTCCGCAAGATCTGCAAGGACCTGTGAGGTCCGCGAGGTGCGAAATGGGGACTTTCTGATCTTTCTGATGGCAGAGAGGAATAGGAGGGGAAGTTCGGCTGCTATGATATGCTACAATTAATCATCCATAATTCATCATAATTCCATAATATATTAATTATATATATTATATATGATTATATATATATATGATTAGATATATATATATATGATTATAAATGTAAGTGTCTGCAGATCCCGGAACTAATGTTGATGCTGTGGGACACGTCATGTCATTGGGACAAAAAAAACCCTTTCAGAGATGATTTCTGGTGTTTCAGACACCAGACATTCTGAGACATCCTTCAGATGTGGCAGTGCTTCCAGCAGAACGGCCACCCATGGGATCGACAGTGGACTGCTGTTGAAACAGTTTCCTGGCTGTGTGGGATGTCCAGATGGACAGTTCGTTGACAACGAGACTCCCATGCTGAGTCATAATCCCGGATGTATACCCCCCTATAGTCGAAGGAAGTTTAGAAGCTAAACTTCCGACAATATGGACAGTTGAAACGCAGAGCAGGGAAGAGGCAGAGAGAAGAAAAAGATTAGAAGAAAGAAGAGGTAGATGCGCGAAAAGATAGGAAAGTCGCGATTCACTGTGTTTTTCCAATGATTTGTGGCTCCGGAGGGTCGAAAAGTAGGCTCGCTAAAGCGGCGGGTGCGGAGCCAGCTGGCCAGATGAGAGATGAAAAATTGCACGCCGTTGTGGCGCGAAGCACATTTCCAAGTCAAAATGGACAAAGCACTAGAGGAGCGGACCACTTTTGGACGTTGCGATGTTGAAAAAGTGCACGCCGTTGTGGCGCGAAGCACATTTGGAAGTCAAAATGTACAAAGCACACCAATGTCGGACCACTTTTGGAAGTTGAGATGTCGAAAAAGTGCACGCCGTTGTGGCGAGAAGCACATTTCGAAGTGAAAGTGTACAAAACACACCATGGTCGGAGCACTTTTGGAAGTTGAGATGTCGAAAAAGTGCACACCGTTGTGGCGCGAAGCACATTTCGAAGTCAAAATGTTAAAAACACTAGGGGTTCGGACCACTTTTGGAGGCTCAGAGGTCGAGTTTCGAAAAAGTGCACGCCGTTGTGGCGCGAAGCACATTTCGAAGTCAAAATGTGCAAAACACCAGGGGTTCGGACCACTTTTGGAGGCTGAGATGTGAAGTTTCGAAAAAGCGCACGCCGTTGTGGCGCGAAGCATATTTGGAAGTTAAAATGTTAAAAACAGTAGGGTTTCGGACCACTTTTGGCGGTGCAGAGGTTGCTTCGCTTCAACTGCACCTACAACTACAAGTACACAACGACACTACACGACATGTACAACTACACCAAAGATAGACAGGTAGACAGCTAGACAGATAGATAGATAGATAGATAGATACATAGATAGATAGATAGACAGACAGACAGATAGATAGATAGATAGATAGGTAGATAGATAGATAGATAGACCGATAGATAGTTAGATAGATAGATAGTGAGAAAGAAAGGTAGATAGATAGATCGATAGATAGATAGGTAGGTAGATAGATAGATAGGTAGATAGACAGATAGATAGATAGTTAGAAAGATAGATAGTGAGAAAGATAGGTAGATACATAGAAGATAGGTTGGTAGGCGGGTAGATAGTCAGCTGCCATCCCTGATTCACAACAACCAATCTCTCCTATAGGTTTCCTATTTTTGAAACTTCCGCCACCGCCTTGTGCGGTACTACTGGTAGTTACCCTCTGGTAATTTAACATAGCTATTGAAAATGACCATATATAGAAATAGTGGATTTTCCCATTGAAAATGGTGATTTTCCATTGTTTTTTGTATGTTTACCAGAGGGTAATCTAACTGGGTCTTGCTCAATTCACCATGGGTTTTATCATTGCACCATGTTGCTCCAACTATGAGCAATCCTAAGCTTTTTTGGATCACTGCTCTAGGTGGGTGTGTTGAAAGATCAGTTTATAAAGGGTCTATCCATTTCTATGCATATCTACTTGTAGCATCTTGTAGCATTTCGTGTGCTTGGGGCCTCCCTTATTTTGGCCTTGGAGGGGAGTGCCGTGACTTCAGGGGGCCAATTCGACAGAACTTGGAATGCGTTGATTACTCCAGGCATCATGTTTCTTTCCTGACACCTCCTTTCACATGAATCTTAGTTTTGATCATCATCACGTTCCAGGTCCCAGTTTCTATTCAAAACACAAGAATGGGTATTTCTTAAAACGGGGGACCCCGAAATCATCCGGGGGTACACTATTCTACTCATAGTATTTGAAACACGCATGGTTTTAGGGATATGCGCCACTTCCTATAATATAGTTCTTGCTTGGTGTTCTTCTTGATGCTGCTGGTCTGTCTTTCCTTTGCCTCCAGGTTCTGTTCGCTGATGTTATATGGAGAACTTCCAGGACCAAATTGCAATTTAACGAGGATAATAACTATAAAAGTGAGATTTCAAGCCATCAATTCTATGGCACAGCATTTTTGGAACAACCCTCCCCCCAAAAAACACACGACATATGACCAGTCCACTGGGTCATCATACAATCGGCCATACAATCATTATATTCTGCACAAACGATCGGCTATGGCTAGGGGTAGGCCCCGTTTTTAGACAAACCTTAAATTGTACAAACCGTATATCATCATACCACAAGGAAGTGTTTTTTTCGTGAGCAACAATGCATCAGTTCAATGTGATTTTCGAAGTTCCAGTCAACAGCTTTGCCCGGCATGTTGTGATTGCACAAGCATCGCCCAAAATCCCCCAGCATCAAATGGCTGTGCCTGAAGGACTGCTGCGACCCGCCTTCTCCCTTTTTTGTCGTAGCGTCTGGAAGTCAACCGCTGGAATCCGTACGTGCAAAACACGTGAGCGGAATTTGTGCAGTTGGATGGCAAGCGGATCTCGGAAATGTTTGAAGTTCTATGAACTTGAACTTGTCAATTTTTTCCTGTAGGTAATGTAGGTACTCGTTTTGAGGGAATAGACTTGTTGCCTGAAATATTTAGCGCAGCATGTGCAAGCCTAGTTGATTGGTGTTTTTTGTTTTAAGGAGTGCAGGAGATCCTTTTGTCTCAATCCTACTTGGAATGGTCTGTGGTTCGAAAGGATCATGGCAAACAAATCAGAGGGATGAGCCTAAAAACATCTAAAAACCGATTCTACGTTTGTCACAACTCCGATTGAAGTCACAGATGGATCCTTTTGTATCCTTTTGTTAAGATTCTACAGACCACTGACTAAGTAGTCACAAAAAAAATTCTGCACCGAGCATTGTCGATGCTTCTCTGGCCTTTTTTCTGCGGTGCCCATAGATATTTTCACCGAAGAAATTCCTGACACTCTCACAGCTACATTGTAGATCTTTCACATCTCATTACTCAACCATCCCCACTTTGGGTCTATTTTTGGGTACACCAGTCTAATTGTTGGTATAAAAGGGAACTTATTTTCCGGGTAAACATCTTATAACCAATGGGCACACAGCTGCAGCCATTGAGTTCGGTGCCCGTAAGCGGTGCCAGCCACGAGCAGTGGATTGTAGCAGATGTTGCCGGGAAAGAACCTGTGGACGTTTGCGTTGGTATACTTGTCATTCACACACACGTATATATAATAATATATATATATATTATTATATTATATTATATTATATTATATTATATTATAATAATATACGTATATATATATTATAGTATATTATATATTATATTATATTATATTATGTCATATCATATTATATCATATTATATTATATTATGTTATATTATATTATATTATATTATATTATATTATGATGTACATATATGTATATATATATATAATATTATAATTAACATTTTTCTATGATTTAGTTGTATTTCAATGAGATCCTCTTTTATCTATGACCCCCATGAACGAGCTTATCATACTGACAGTATGCTTTCACCATGGACCTGTTGTACCTGGCAGCATTTGTGACTTTGCTCAGTCAATCAGTCAATCGAAATTGTGTGCAGATGGCTTGTAAGGCCTCGAACACACTTAAGTCACTTAAGATAAAGGAAGAATGATGGCTCTTTTTGAGAATCTCTGAGCCGTTTGCAAGTGGAATCAAAATAAGATACTCAGAGTTGTCCACACTGGGCTTCTGAGCCGTTTGCACACCTCAATGCAAACCTGTCTTCCACTGTGCTTCAAGCTGTCTCACGATCGAATTCCTTTGCCATGCCTGGGAGCTGTGAAATGTTCTCTTCACGACGACAATAAAACGATGTAAGAGAAGCATTTGAGAAGCATCCTGTGCACAGTGGAAGTGCCTAGCTGGCCTAGCGCATCCTTTGCTGTCTTGTCGCGACGCCGTTAAGACATTGCTTTTACCACCTTCCTGGCAGGGAAGCTGTCGCCTTCGCTGTGCAAGAGCAGCTGTTGCCATGTTGCTTGCCAAGCACAGTTGCAATTTCAATTTGAACTTTTGAACTTCAAATGTTTGTTTGGTACTGCATGATTTGAGTTGAGTTTTAGTTCTGATATGTTCTGATCATTCTGGAAGAGGCTTCGCTTATCATCCTACGACCTTATAAGACCTCAGTTTTCATATATTTTCATAGCCATATCTCCATAACTACTCGCAGTCGGAGTCAGGGTGGAAACATGTGGAAACACAATCCGTTTGTTGTCTCAAGACCATTTTGGACATACGCTCCAGGAAACAACCCTGACAGCAGAAAGTCTACCATTTCCACCCGCAACGCATTCGCATTCTTCTTCGATAAAAACACACATTCGAACGGGCCAAAGTTAAAGATCAACAGAGGACGAATACAGTCCGAAAATAGGGTATACGTCACGTCTAAATCTACTGGTTAATAAATGTTACAGTAATCATCATTTTCCCAACCGCCAATTTGGAAGATATCTTCGAAGGTCTGCGCCAAGGTACTTTCTCGTTTGTGGTCTTGCTCAGGTCAAGTGTCTGTCTCAAGGATCCCCATTGAAACACGACGGACGACGAAAG